ACAAAAATAACTACAATTTTTATCTATGTTCCCAAATCCAGTACTAAAAATTCCTAATACTTTTACAACTAGAAAAAGTCTTATTTCACAGTTTAACTGCGGCATAAAAATCTGTATTTTTCCATAATTTGAATAATTAAGCAGTTAAGCTATGAATAAGTGTTTTTGACTATTGACTATATGTATAATATTATTGGTATGAATATTTTCATAAAAAACCATTTTCTAGAATTTTCTGGTCGCCTATGCTTACTACCTAAGAGAATTCAATTCTGTGACGCATTGCCAATCTAAAAAATTACGAATAGTACAATTTCTATTTATTCCAAAGCACCATTAAAAAATATTCTGTAATCGGTTTAGCAAAAATGTAAAAAAAGAAAATTGAAAAAGACGATTAATAGCTTTATTTGATTAAAATTGGTCTGTGACAGGACGTTTGTATAATTTAGGACGAATTTTGAAATTAGAAGGGTTCATGTTAGACCCGCTGTCCACTAAGGTATTATTTGATAAGCTCGCTTTTGGGACCGTAACAGAGAAACCACATCTTAGGCGTTTTGAACTGAACTGAGGCTCGAATGCCTAATAATGTCAAACAAATTATTCATTTTCAAAATTATATAATACATTCTTATGTATTCCAACTTACAAAATGAGGATTACAAACCTTTTTTTTTAATATAAAACAAAATGGCACCTTATGATGAACAATGTTATCGCACAAAATTGTAATGGAATAAGACTCCCAAAGATTTTGGCACCTGATGATCGAAGAGGAATTTGCCATTTTTTGGTACTTAAAGCCTAAGGGCTTTAAGTACCAAAAAATGCAGAGGTTAAGACCTCTTGTCTGCCGGTATATGAGACACAATAGAAAACACATTGTGTCTCGCGTATATCTGCGCTCCGGCATACCTCGGGTTAAAGAACTATAGGCCAATTGTAACAGCCGAGGAAAAGTCATTAGGTAGGTTTAGGAAATCCGGACTTATACCGACCGAATAAAGGATTTTAAACATTAAATGTTATGAAAAATATTTAGTTTTTATTCCGCGACAAAAAATCCAGGCTTGTATGTTGTTGTTGATGTGCAATCATGCATATGCACGTGCAGCAAAGGTTCCACCTCCCGCCCACATGCATATGCACAAGTTCAAACGAAAAAACATGCCACGCAATCAAACTTATACGCGACACGTGTTTCAGCCCTCCACAGGGCATCCTCAGAAGTCGAGTCAAAATCTCCTAAGGATGCCCTGTGGAGTCTTAGTCGCGAAATTCAAACTAAATATTTTTCATAACATTTAATATCATGGATCTCCGCAAAGAAACACCTGATTTTAAGCTTTTCGTAGCTGGCCCAAACCACGGCAAAAGTAATTTTTTTTTTACTGTTTTTCGAAATGGTTGAACTTAAAACTGTGTGTATCTTTTTATAAAAGAAACAAATGCACACCGCTTAGAGTGCTTTTACGAGTTTCTCTTTTCTATAGTGAACGTTCGCTGCATAAATAAGGAGACACGACCGCGGGTGAATGAGTTTGAACTGTATATTAAGTTATTATTAAGTCGACGTTTCTTTGATGTTTTGCTCTGGTGCAAAAATACGTGTACATTTTAACAATATTTAGTAGGTAACATGTAGAATGTTCTGGAATTACGAACGAGGAACATTATGGAAATGTTAGTACTTTAAATCGTATGTAAATTGAAAGTTCAAACTTTGGGTTCAACGTTTACTTAGATCTTCTTGTTTATCTTGGAATATTGATAAACAATGTGTATTATTGTTTAAAAGCTTGTTGACACGCACTAGAATAATAGATTACTTATATAACATTTTAAATAACTTGTTAAAATTTACGCCTCAGTAGACAACTAGCCTTGATCATATTAAAATAAATTGTTTATATTTTTTTCTAAAAAAGAAATTTGAATTCTATTAATTTGATTTTAAAATTCAAATTTACATCACACACTCGGTTTGCCACGACATGGTCAATAACGCTACGGTGACTGATCACATCAAATGCCCATCGATTTAGCTCTCGCATATCCACCGCAAATACATTGATAGAAAGTAAATAGGACTTTACTGGTATGAAAATTGGGTGTGTTGTTGGATGTCTGGTTGCATTTGAAGCTATTAATTTGCATAATCCAGTCCAATACGATATTCCCAATTAGACTGTATCTGAGTTAAATGGTTTCTGAGTATCGGTAATTACTAACAAAGTTATAATTATGTATGTATAGTTGTGGAAATGAAAATAGTCGGATAGTCTCTAGTGTATTTTGGATATATTGGTTTTAGACTGGATCGAGGGGAGGTAAGGGATTTACAAGTTTGCTCATGGCAGATTGGCGATTACAAACTTATAATTTGAAATGTCCACGTTTCCTCATAGTGTATTTCTTCTACATATGAAAGTAACAATTTTTTTATGTGATTTGTCTGTAAACGAGCAGACGGTTTACATGATGTTAAGCAATCAGCGTCGCCCGTGGACGCCCGCAACAACAGAGGAGTTACGAGTGCGTCGCTGACCTTTTGGGGTTTAGGGATTGGGGAAGGCGAAGTGTAGGGCCTCCGGCAACCTCACTCACATGGCGAAACACAACGCTGTATTTGTTTCATGGCAGTTTTCTGTGAGGCCGTAGTATCACTCAGGTCGAGCCGACCCATTTGTGCCGAAGCATGAATTTCTTACATTTTGTGTCTAAATAATCTCAAAAAAATAAAAACCTATTACACGGAGAACTATGCTAGGTTTGGAGCCCACGTCTTGACTTAATATTGAAGTAGAATACTAAGATTGATATCAAGTATATTGAGTGCACGCTCGGCACAGAGGCTGAGCAACTGGCTGCTGTGCTACGCGTCGAGCATTCGACTCCCGCTCGAAACAAGATTTGTGTAATCCACATTTAAGTAGCTTGTGAGTGTTTGTAAACATACCCACGACACAGGAGAAAATCCTAGTGTGGGGCAACGTTTTTAGAATTTATTTGTATTTGGGAAGGTTGCCAAAAATGATTTCAACATTAAAAGATTTTCAGTCACTCAAAATCTACTGAAAATTTACAACGACCCTTTTCAGTATCAAGAAAGTATATTTTTTTTTCATTTCCAACTAAAAATATCAAGAGCAAAGCAACTCTTCATTTGTGAATGCCTATAGAAGTGTATAGAGTTTCAATTTTGTAAAGAGTTTTCATTGATAAAAATAAATACATATTCGTATGAAGCAATGAGTGTAAAAGAGAAAAAAATCGTTTGATGTTTCTAAAAGAGATTGCTGTACATATTACATACTGGTTGTATTCAGAATTTTCCCTAAAAGCACATTAATAGGTACAAATATTTATAATAAACACACCCTCCTATATTTCCTCTTCTATAAAAATATGTTTTCACATAAAATCTCTATTAAAGCCTGTTCCATGCAGTTTCCGCGAACAGTATTGTATCGAAACTCGGGACTTTATAAAAAAATTGGGAAAATTTAATTATGAGTCCATCATTTTCCGGGCGTCCTTTGTTTGCATCTGACAAGCTGTGAATGACGAGAATTTTTCCTCTAACAAAAATCATCTTTCGAACATTTATTATTCATCTCATCTTATATCTTTTTTTATTTTTGTTTATAACGTCTCGAGTGACGCTACAAGGCTGTGTCACTAAGAATAATCAGACATTTAGTACAATTTATAAGTATGTATATACGAGTATAATTAATAGGTGCACACAAAATATTTATTTTATATTACATTCTAAGATATAAATGGTGTTTCTCGATATAATATACATATATGTCCAATAATGCCCGGGACACTGATTTTCAGAGTATAGTAGCTCTATAACATCGATACAGTTATATATTCCAATAAAAGAATCTTGAGTTCAATGACCTGTTATACATTGGTACAAATTTCGTTAACGATTCACTTGAGATACTAAAACCCACTTCATGCCAACCAATCTGTTCCCGGGCAATACAATACGCTAAAAGATAATATGTATACTACAATATGTTACCTGATATGACATCGCTACCGATTACAATACCGATATTTACAATACTACATACATATACATATAAAAAGCACTAATAAATATTCGTTGTATCTTAACGATTAAGAAACATTACATTTACTATTTGAAGACAAATTAATGATATGAAATTAAAACTACTATCACATATACTATGTATATTACCGTATAATATTTATGCACATTTTTAGATATATAAGAAGAAGTACATACGTTTATATAATAAGCTGTTTGAGCACGGAGTTAACAAGCACTGACATTAAGCAACGGTACACTGGCGAGCATAAATATCGAACCACATTTAAATACTACAAAGTATTTTCAAGTCTTAATCCTTGCCAATAGACCACTACAGACGTGGCCCTATAGGGCTGATGTTCAGCCAGGGTTGCGGGGTTAGTGCAATGAGTCACCGCAGCCTCGGCCCAGAGTCAGTAAGAGTCTGACACTTCCTCCCACCCTTCCCTGGGCGGGAGAAGTCGTTTGTGATGATTGATGATGATTTTCCCCTCTCAAAAAAAGTCTAAATCCGCCAAGAATCTATATTATATGTAAAGTACATAAAAATCTTGTTTTAGCCTAGATTCCAGCTGTCAGTCACATAGGTTTCTTTTTGGCTTTTAATATTTAGATTGTCGACTGAATGATTTAAAAGGTTCTCTTAATGTTCCAACACTTGAGAAATGGGTACTTAGATGTTTTTACTTATTTTAAGTTTATTAAGGTATTATTTTAAAAGCACCTTCTGGTAGCTACAACAAAAACATTATGACTTTTAACATCAACTTTTTGAGAAAAGAATATCACGGCAAGCAATAAATGAGTTCGACATTTAGTTCGACAGCGAAAGATCATCCTTGAGAATTCAGAAGTAATATATCTTATCTGTCGCTTCAAAATGTACATGCTTTTTGCCGTGCGCTGGCAGCACGACCAACAACCATCAGGCAGGGCTGCCCTTCCTTGGATTCTTCATCGTCACCACATCGCAGCTTCTTACTTCACTATTCTTACCGTTAGCACTTTTGTCACAGTATTTCGTATTAACATTGTCATTAGCACTTTTATTTATATGTACACTTTTAGGGTTGTCAACGTTTTGTGTTGACGAACCCTTCACTTCATCGTCTTTATCACTTGGTTCGTTTATTTCTGGGATCGTGTTTCTGGGCTTAGAGCCATCTGCTTCCTTGTCGGCCTGAGTGAGCACCTCCTGTACGTGGATGGTCAGCTCAGGTCGCACTACTTGTGTGAAGGGCAGCAGAGCGCCCGCAACGTCCATAGTGTTATTGATGTTTCTGTGCCACAACTCTAGCACGACGCTGCGCCGTTGCTACTTGTATCTTGGCGGCCCTAACCAGCCGCAGCCGAACACCTACACAAAAGAAACGAAAATGAATTAAAATATTCTACAATACCCTCTTCTCTCATAAAACCGCCAATGAAGTATTAACTCAAGCGTGTGGTTTATGAGAGGTTTACTTAGCATAGTCTTAAAAACTTTACGTAACTTATTAGCATAGGCAATATTTATACCCAATTTTCCCAAGACCCTTTTCAGCGTAGTAACTTTAAGAATTTCACTTTAAAAGTATTTTTATTATAAAGGATTGTTTTGAAACCCCAGGGTCTAGGTTGTGAAAAAGTCTGTAAAATTTATAAACAGAGTGTTACCTTATCTTCTGCTACAGCAAGCTAGCTGGCTACAAATTTCTAGAAAATATAATCAATTTTCATAGTATACCTGGGCTATTACCTGACAAACTGCGAGAGCTAGCAGTAACAGCAGAACCAAGGCCATCAGACCCCACACCACGCCCAGTTGAGTCAGCGAAAACACGTACAATGTCTTATGACACCACTGGTTTGGCTCGAACAGCGTTGGGGCGTAGTCTGGCCACATGATTTGGAGGGTCCAGTAATTGCCAAAAGCAAACCTGAGGAAAAATTTTCATTTAGAACTACGATCAAAGGTGGTTTTGAAAAAGACGATACGGGTTATCAAAGACCAATTAATAAAGTTGGTAAATGCTTTCTGTCTTTGATTCGGGAATTCTGTTTTCATTAGAGTAAAGAAAACCAATTATTTTCATCAACCTTTTTTGCGAAAAACCTTAATAACATAACTACCAATTATTCTGGTATTACCTTAATCTCTTTTCGATTTGACAGATCACCTGTCGAACGAAAAATAATAAAAATAAAATCCAAATTAAAAATTACAGACAAAAATTTAAAAAATAAAATATGTCTTAAATTTTCGCTTCGAATAAAATAGTATATTAATTTAAAACCGTATCTATCTAGCTAAATGAATTCATCCACAGAATGACCAATTAATTATCTGCATTACAAAAAAAGACTTTTTTAATAAGACACAGATTTAAGATAAAAAAATCTTCTATGTACGTACATTTAATATTAAACCTTAACCAGAAAGATTACGGAATAAATTCTGTTGATGTAAAACTTATTTAAAAGTACGTCTCTAACCACTAAAAAGATTGAACGTTACAAAATAACAATAAAACTACATTAACCTTATTTCACCACAAAGTAGAAACCAGAACAAAAGCAATATGACAAAACAAATTGCATTTACTATGTTATTTGACATTACGAGTATACACATACACATAGCCTAGAATTCACGAAATTGGTGCTCTAAAGAAATAACGACATCGTTAACTTCATGTGTTACCAAAAATGTAGAATAGTGTATATGTATTATATACCTTATTTAAAAAAATGTAGTAATATAATGAAAACAACAAACGTAATGTTTATTTTTGACGAGAAAAACCATCTCTTACTGACTTAATGAGAGAATAACTTAAAAAAGAAAGCTTTTAAACATCCGATGAATTAATAGAGTTTCTTATATCTCTTGTAGCTCTATATTTAATCCTCATACGGCTGTAGAAATTACTATAAAGTTTTGATGGTTCATACCTATAGTTCATTAGCCACCCAAACTTAAAAAAAAAACATTGGTAGAATTTTCTCATGTGTCGTGAGTGCCTTTAAAAAACAATTTCACATATACAAGCCACTCAGACTTGAAACTACAATTTCTAAATCACACAAAGTATTGTTCTGTGCCGGAATCGAAACCCCGTCAGTCCAGCCAACACCAACCGTGCAGTCGCTTTTACCCACAACAATACACAGAAAACTAAATTTCATTTTACAACTACAATTTAAAATTATTCACTTTCCATTTAAAATTGAAAACCATTATATCAAGCTCTTAGTTACAACAGAATTTCACGATTTAATTATTAAAGGCTGCTCTTCTATTTACCTGACAGCTTCTACCGCAACCGTGCTGACGTATCGACAGATTGTTGTACACAGAGCAGTTGTTTCCATCAATATTGTTTTACAAGTAAAAAGCAATTAAAACAACTCTTTTGATTGTATAGCAGTCACGATATGATGTATATTTTCAATAAATACTGACTGCAATTTAATACGACACATGCTTATATAACAAAACTGTAGAGTTTGTTTGTTTGTTGGTTCAAACGCACTAATCTCCGGAGCTAGTGGTTTATTATTTATCGTTATAAAACATCACGCTACGATCAAATGGACGCGAGCAACGCGTGAAACCGCGTGAGATTAGCTAGCTTATGCATGCATAATTTGGTTAAAGCTTTATTATTAATCAAGATGACATTTCAAATTTATCACTATTTTTAGATGACATATATATCTACCTATATACTTATATTATAAAGAAGTAAAATTTGTAAGTTTGTATGCAGGGGGTAATCTTTGGAACCGCTGGTCGGATTACCAAAATTCTTTAATTGATAGATAGCTAAAATGTTCCTGAGTGCTATAGGCTATAAAACACCACGCTAAGATTAAGTGGAGCCGGGCAGCGGGTGAAACCGCGGTAGAGAAACTAGTATCCTATATAGTTTGACCAAAATTTGAGCACGTCCATTAATTTTTTAGCGGAGCGAAAATCATCGAATGGCTTCTTTCCCTTTAAGTGAACAGAGAAATAACTACCCCTTCCTTCGTTCATTGTTTCTTTTACCGAGCTGGAGCCACAGTACATTTTTCGCATGCTTATATTACTTGACCCTACTTAAATCATATTACTTGACACACAACTTACCAAGCCAGTAGGAAAATCGTGAGCAGAGACGCGAGTATCTTCTCAACGACGCTAGCTGATGTGTTGGAGTTCCTATTGACCAGCTGAGCAAACAGCAGCCAGCAGATACCAGCTCCTCCCATAATACCACCAACTATCATGTATACTGGTATCCGGGGTTGTGCTGGACAATCCCGAATGTAATGGACACCTGTGGAGGAAGATTTTATTAATATTACAGATAATAGATATTAATAAAATGGATGCAGTTTCGCTTTTAATCGGCCGGTTCCGAAGTCACGCCCGGTACATGCCATTTGCAAACGTCTTGTAGATAATTATAGTAATATTCTTTAAGTAGGGATGATCACCAATTGCCTTCAGGAGTGACAGACTCTTAGTCACTAAAAATCACCCCGTTCCTTCTCCTGCTCCAGGTCAATACAACGGAACATTATTGCACTTGAAACCCTAGCTGTAATTGTAGTACGTTGAAGATAAATATGAAAGCTCGCCTTTTGGCAGATGTAAATTACAATTACTTCAATAAATTACTTCAAGTTCTATATAAATGTTTTAGAATTGTGGTTAATGAAGATAACAAAAGATATGTAAGTAGGACAAAATGAAAAAATTGAGACCTATGTACAAGTACGCGTAGGAACAATCAACAATCGTCGAATAATGGGTACGACCTCATTTCCCTGGACGGCGCCTCGCGAACCGAATTATACCGGTACACACTGGATTTACCGATCAACGCGTTGATTAAACCGAACCTGACTGTACAAATATTAGTTCGAGTACAACCAATCGATTATCGTACAACATCGGGTGATCGGTGATCGTTCCTTGTACGATTTTATGGGCCTTTATCCCCTACCACGAAATATGTGTTCGAATTATCATAACTTGCAAAGGTTTGACCTAAAAACTTTATTTATCGTTCCGTTTAAATATTTGTTGGCAAGAGTACCTATGTTATTTTATTGCCACAAAGCTACAGAGTTCCTAAAAAGAAAACCTGTTTCCTTTGTTTTAGTTTTATGAAAATAGAATAGAGGCTAAGGTTAGGATTGTTGGTATTGTCATAGATGACATACCTTTTTTACTGGCTGTTTTTATTTACTTAGTACATATAATAGAGAGATCGCTGTATTCAATAAAAAAATAAAAGTAAATCAAAATACTGACGATATCCGAGTCCAGTTGAAGGAGAAGATCTGAACATCGAGCTCAGTAGCGTGCAATTGGGGAAGCATATGTCCAGTAGTGGACGAAATCAGGCTGATGTTGATGACGAATGAAAATATAAGTTACCCGTATTTTCATTTGTCAATTCAGATTTTCTTCTAAAATTTCCATATACGGGTGATGGTTTAAAGTCAAATGACTATTTACTCTTGACTTTTCTGTCTAATGATACTCTATCTAAGTTACTAAGTACTTTTGCAACACTAAGCGGTCTTAAGCCCCAGCCAAGACGTTATTAATAGACAAAGCTACAACAATTTAATTAGTCTGTCAGGCACCATATCGGTAGCGAGTAATGAGCAGCTCTGAAAGTTATTGGAGCGACGGTACAATCAAGTGAAACAGCTCAATCAGCTAGGTATTAATTAATTTGAATATTCATGAGCGAATCCAGGGGGCGTCCAGGTTATGTGTGGAATTAATGATCAGTTGCAACTAGAGCCATAGGCTGCTGAAAGGGAATGTGGTTGTTTTCCATAAAAAGTACTCAAATCTAGTCTAGACAAAAAAAATATATAGATGAAAAAAAATATAGAAAAAACTAAAGATAAAATAAAATTATATTGAAGCACATCTAAATATTGACACAAACTCCTGAATTTCTGCACTATCGCAAAATCACATCCGTTTATTTTCAACAATGAAGCCCTAATACATTATCGCCATTCTGACCCCTCAAACTTGCCCAAACATGTCCAAAGTTTCCAACTTCAATCAAAATACTACGGAATTCCTTGACGAGCGTCCATTAGAGCCTACTTTTAATCAATAAACTTATTTACAAAGTTTTTCCTTTCATTTTTTCAAGCGCCATTTTACGATGTCTGTCAGTTTGTAATTTCATTAGGTGCGCATCTCGTCCGGGCCGACTTATCAGATTTATGTCAACTTTGGTTTAAGCTTTATCTCCGTGGCTGTACGAAGTAGCGCGGCTGTGCGGCCGTACCTACTCGCCGCCTAATGACTTCTGTTTCAACTTTGGAAGACTACAAAATGTGGTTACAATGTTTTTAAATGTGTTTTCTCTTTTCTGCTCTTTATCCTAGTAGTTGTAAATGCGATTACTATATACGCTTGGATCGGAAAAAGCTGGATCTATTTTGTTGGAAAACTATGCAGTCAAATTTTGGACAGAGTTAACTTCAACAGATTATTAAATAGCAATCGTAACTAAAAATTCAATTATTATTGAATTTAAAACTTTAACTAAACGTAACGTCGGTATTTCGACATGAGAGTCATACCAGTTCAATTAAAATAAATACTGCTTGGTTATACGTGGCCATCATAAAGAACATCTCTATAATTCCCACCCTAAAACCGCCAAATGAGACATTCAACTCCAAGGTCACACTGGTCAGTCTCCTTGGATGTAACGTAAAATTTTTCCATTAAATGAAAATGACCACTTTATCTGCCAAGTCGTACAGACTTCGGAGTATTCTGAATGTCGGAATGGACTTTATTCTTTTGCACAAAGCTTGTAAAATATATAGACATCCAAATGTTTTAAGATAAGTTCAGCTATAAGTAGTAATGGTTGGAATTGTATTCTATAAAAACTGATGTGTTCACACTATCGAGTCGTTATTCTAACGAGTCAAAATAGCGAAGTTTTTTTTCTTAATAAATTATCATGATTTAAGTTTATCGCTTTAAGCATTTAATTTAAGTCTTATTCTAATGCAAAAAATTAACTATTCTACATGTAATGATACGTTACAGTATCGAATTTACAAAATTAATTTTTGTTCGTTTTTTTTGCAAATGTTTCACTTATAAATGAGAAAGAAAAAATGAAATGAAATAAGCAATTATATTAAATTGATATAGATATTCAAAACATCATTACTTTTATGCCCAATCGCTACACATCTCGTTGAATACTCACCCATAATGACCATTAAAATAGGCAGCGTCGACAGGAAGACGAGGAACACTGTCATGAGAACTGAAACAAAAACATTATATTTAACTGAACGATTCGGTATCGGTTATTGAATCTTTTTGTTCGTTCATCACAGCTTGTCGGTTCGACACATTGACGTGATAAACGGGCCATTACTCGCAGATATATTTCTTTTAAATGTTCGGAGATACAAATCTTCAAAAATCGAATTTATTTCTTTCTTTCTATTTATTTTTTGTCTCGATTAAAATCGGTTTGATAAAAGTTTTTTTGGACTGAGATTGATTTTTGTACGCGAACAATTATTTTGTTGCAATTGTCACTAAATTGAATTATCACAATTTTTTACTTTGATTCACACTAAAGTTTTTTTTTAAAGATTCAGTATACTTACTAGTCCTATTCATAATCTTGGCAGCTCTACAGATGAAGTCAACAGTTCCAGAGGCTTCCATATTGGCATCTTTCAGCTGGTAGGCCACAGACCCGTAGGTCGTAAGGCCCATACCCAGGCCAAGGCCACTCCTGTCACTATACTTGGCATGCTCACCGCAAAGACGACGCTGCTCGTCACCCGACACCTGGCAAATTGAAACGTTATATAAAACAAGGCTCTAATTAAAATCCTATCAATATTTACAGGTACATCCTTTTTTGTGAAGGTAATATGTTAGGTTCATTTTAGATTCGCACCTTAGTATATTTACATATTTAAAAGGTTCCAATCGATCGATAAGTTGAAAATATTATTATACACTAAAGATCTTGACTAAATTGCTATTCTAACTAAAATGTAGCACTAATATGAAAGACTTAGTTTTTCGTAGCACGTCGTTGCAAGCGTAGCAAACGACGTAGGACCTACGAAATAGATGATAATTCTGAATTTCGAGAAGCTTGAATTGACTTAAAATGTCCTGAAAGACACATAAACTTCATTTTAGTATAGTTTAAAATACCTAAATGGTAAGTTTTTACATATATTATAGAGTACAGCTATTTAAAATTCTGAAATAATAAATCCCATGCCGTGAACGAAATACTTAATTGAATCAAGATTAGCTTTCAAAATATCAATCTTAATTAGCAGTGCGGTTAATGTAAGTACATAATTAGGGTACATTGCATGCTAAAAACAGTGTTACTTGCATGTTAACTTCAACAATTGCATGTAGTTCAAAAAACTAATAATTTCAACACCATTATTGGGTCATTCACCTTCCGTATTTCGTGATAATTGTGACATTTACTTCATTAACTGTACTTTCATATGGAAATTATGAAACTTTCATAACGACTCGAATTGAGCAATTAAGTGTGAACTTACCAACTTAACGTTAATGAGGTGAGGGATTAAGTATATGGAGCTGTCACGCTATTTACTTAATCATGATTTATATCTCATAACTTTGGTAGCAGCTATGTATATTATGTATACATATGTATTTTACTTTAATCCCGCCCACGCTACAATGCAGGGGTGCCAACGGATAACCCATTTAAAAACCAGTAGTCATTGTGCCCAACTTATACTAAGATGGCAACCCTTTTAGCATGGGCATACTGCCACTTCTTCAGTTCTTGTTTTGATTTAGTCAATTAAGTAAATATATGCCTGATGCCAAATTAAATGAAAAGATTGTATTGCGCTTCCAATGCATACCTTTGTAATAAGGTCTACAACCAATTTTATTTTAAATCTATTTTAATTGCTTGTCATCTTTTCATTCGTAAACTTTATGTTCTTTAATATCGTATTCGCTCGATTTATGACGGTAATTGTTCGTTTCCCTGAAAATTTATTCCAATAAGAATTCTCAGTAAATCACCGTTTAAATGTACGTATTTTTTAGCAAATAATTGCAAAGACAGGCCAGGATAAATGTGCTGATTAAAAATAAAAAACAACTAAATTCCGACATTGATATTGAGCGAGTCTTTTATAGCCTTTACAAAGCCGGATATTATTTCTTTATGATCAATTGATATTTACGTTTTACGATTCTTATTACCCATAATTTCAATATGTACAAATTAAAACAAGGTAATGTAGGATATTGATCACCTGAAAAGTGTATGGCAGTATCCATTTGGTAATCCAGAAAATATCTTATTCATGATGGACAGGTCATAAAAGTGTTGATTTTTTCTAACAGGGCAATTACTTAGCGTTTTAATTTGAAGGGGTTGTGAACATCTCTTACCTGACTTACTGAACTAGAGGCCCGTCGTGAGCCAGGGTCAGATGGAGCTCCAGTACCTGTCTGTCTGCCAACCACTGAAGATCTGTATGGTGATACGCTTCTTCCACGAGTACCTGTACAGATTTAAAATCTAAATGTGGGGAGCTTTGCTTCAGCAAGAATGGGTTGGCGCGTTCGGAATGATATCATGACTTCGCAGAATGGTAGCGTGAAATATTGCTATCCTTGTGTTTCACCACATAACGGGAGGCCATAGCCGAAAATTATTGGGGATGTGCCTCCCACACCTAATTGTCAAATACGTAATATAACAAAAGGTCGGCAATGCACACCATTAGCTTTGCATGGTGACCATAAGCGATTCGATTGCTTGCCATCAGGTGATACATATGCTCGTCTGCCGACCTATCCCATAAAAAATACGAATTAATAACTAAATAGAACTGTAATAGAGAGTATCGTCCTACGTAACAAACTTATAAATAACTTCAAAGTAATTGACAAAAAAGAAACTGTTATGGCTCTACTAAGAAAAGCGACAATCATAAAGCAGTAAGACAAGTATTAACATAATTGGATTCATGATGTAAAAGAAAAAAACTAAAAGTCAAGCTGAGCTAACAAAATACGCACTCAATTTGATTCACGACAAACTGTCAAAATAGAGATTATTCCGAGTAAGCCATCAAGCCACTCAATTTAAATCTAGCGTTTCGTAATAATAACAGGGCTGCCAACAATTTTTAGTTTAATTTTATGGAGTATATTTAGTCAGTCTATTAATTATGGTTATTAAGGCATTTAGACAGATGTAATCAAAATAAGAATACATTATAAATATTCATGCCTACCTGCTGTTTGACTGTCTTCGCTGGCTCGTCTTTCTCTTGACACCAAAGGCTCTTGAAACGTTAATGTCAGGCTTCCCCTGGGGCTTATCCTGCTCGCCTCGCCTTCACCTGTCACTAAGCTTCCCCGCGCGCTCCTCTCTGATGGCGCGATACTTCCTCGAGGACTTCGTTGGGAGTCAGGAATCAATGAGCCCCTGGGACTCCTATTCATTTCTTGAATTTCTTTCTTAAGTGCTGCTTCAGGTCCTATGCTGCCTCGTGGACTGGTCCGTGGACTTGGACCTAAATCCTTTTGACTTCGAGCTGGGTCTATTTGAATACTTGCTACTGAGTGCCGGGGACTTCTACCAACATCTGGCACCAAAGAGTTACGAGGTTGATTCCATGACGTACCCTCTGGCACCAAACTTCGTCTTGGGCTTCTAGCTGTGGCATCTGGAGTAATACTGTTTCTTGGACTCCTGTTAAAGTCCTGAGGATTTAAGCTTAGTCTCGATCCATAGTTCATGTCGACGGCTAAGTTATTCCTAGAAGGTCCCAGAGTATTTCTCGGTTGTAGAGCTGTATCTGGTGTAATAGAATTTCTGGCCGATCTGACCTCAGGAACCAAAGAATGACGTGGGCTTCGATGATAGTCAATTGCGACATCTGGTGCAAGGCTTGCTCGCGGGCTTCTTTGTGGAGGTGGAATTGGCTCCATTTCTTCGTCAGTTTCTGTAGCTGCTAATGAGGCTCTTCGAGAAGGTTGTGCTGATGCTCTCGGTGACCTTGCTTGTGGTGAAGTGGCTGCACTCCTGGAGGCGCGCCGTCGACGTGATGATGAGGTTCTGTGAAGCATGCTGGAGTCTTCTCAAAATTCACTCTTCACTTCGGGCGTCTCGCATTTGATTCATCATTGTATCTGAAACAAATACCAGAACTTAATACAGAGTTTCCGAACGTTTGAGCATTTAGTATTCTTTATGCCTCATCGAAATTTATAACTAAAGTTCGTAATCCGATTGTAAAGCCGCAATTTCAACTTCTTTGTTTACAGTTTCGGGCCATGAATCTTAATGGTGTTTAAGCAAAATGAGCTGAGAGGCATAATCTCTTGTAATTTATCATAAGGCCTGAGTCGTGTGATATTTCGTTTGTCATACAAAGGGATGATATTCATTTCTACTCCCAACATTTCGTCTTAATTATGATGATTCATAACAAAATTAGGTTTGTTGTCTCTTTGTGATACAAGGAAAATACATCAAGTAATTAAGTCTTTTCGTATAAGCACGCTGTTAGGGTAAAATGAATAATCTTTTGTTTTCTAGACAAATGTAGATGCGAGATGAATCTCATAAAGATTGTTGTCTAAAAATAAAATTAATTGCTGGAAATATAAAAGGCTATGTAATAAAGAAGTATCTCCTTTTTTAATGAGTTTTTTTTTGTTGCACTGATGCATAAGTTGTACTTTACATAAAATTGCGCGGGTATTAACGCGAAAAATAATTATTTAAATACCTGGCTTGCCGTTTCGAATTAGTGGTTGCACAGGTCGTAGTCGCAAGCAGACTCAAAAATTAGTTTAGTAAAGTACAAGTTAAATTAATTTTGTTTATTTTTTTATTGTTATTGTTTTGTGACTTTTGACGTTAAATAAATGTTGAAAAGTTCTAAAGATATTTAATTTTAAATTTGCCAAACCGAAATGAACCAATTACGCAATCGAGCCGCCCGGGCTAACCCTGTCAAGAACCTCTCAACTCCAACTATTCCTGCTCGGGGTCTCTTTAATACCTACTGAATGTTTCATTATTACTTAGCTGAGACGTCACAGTTATGCAACCTGCCTTTGTGGATTACAAGCAATCTTGAGCAATTTGCAGGCTGTCACTGTATTATCTTGGCCTCTTAGACCCCCATTCAAGATTACATAGCTCATTGTAGTTAAGAAGTTGGCAAATTGATTTTGCCTGCCTTTTCCGCGTGTCTCAAATCTAGATGCTTAGAGTGTAACAAGTATTTGTGAAAAAAATTAAATCGTTTATAAAAAAAGAACAAATACATTTTTGATTGTTTATGCCTTTGATGATTGGTTTGCATAAATTTGGTAATTCAAAATTAGTATTTTAAGACAAATTATTAATCGGATATCAAAGTAAATATATAACTTTTTTAAATCACAGAATTTTTTATAGTTTTATAATGGCCGAGTATATAAAGTATATAATATATTAACGATATATATGGCTAACCTTCCCAAAAATAAAATAACAATAGAAATTTCCCAAAACGAAGCGTGGGGCTGAAATTCAAGCAATAACTAGTTAATGTATGCAGCATAGTACTCGTTGGGAAGTGAGCTCCACACCGCATTCTGACTGCAGCGTTGATTTTCCAACTCCAGAGTGAACTTCCAACGCCGGACAGTTGATTTTAATTGTATTATTTTGTGGTTTGTTTAACTTGAAATTTATAGAGGAACTAGTTGGTTTCAGTTTGATGTATGCAAAATTATTGTATGTGCAATATTCGGTGTGTATTTTTAAGAGATCTGTTGTTTTTTGGTTATTTTATGGTTGAAATTTGCGATAGGGCCGCAAGCGAGCAGTCGGATTACCTGAAAACTAGTAGTAGTATACCAGAAAAGTTACAAGTGCGTTGCTGATCTTTTGGGGAGGACTTGAGGGAGGAGAAGGGTTGGTCCGCCGGTACTTTCACTCACACAGCGAAACAACGCTTTGGTCTCAATTTCTTCAACAAATAAAAACTCTTTTTTTTCGTTATCCCACACTAAGCTGCCCAGGCCCAAAACAACAATTTGCGGATAACATGTTTCGGGAATCAAACCCGCTACATGTTGCTCAGCAGCCAGTTAACCAGCGACCGCGCCAACCGTGCCGCCAAACACAACGTCATTGCAGTGATTGGTGTAAATATTTAAGTTTTGGCTATATTTACTATTCCGTCAGTAAATAAAGTAGTCAAAAAGATTCTAAAATAGACTTTCACATTGATAACTAAAATTTTAATCGATCGGATCCAAGAACTTCAGTTCCTCTTTACAAAATAATATTTCCTCGAAAAGGCGAAAATGAAGTTCCTACTTAAAGGAAAAAAAACACAAATTAAAACCGAATATTTGCTGCAAATATTTCGAAGCAATTTTGCCGTCAACTTTCCGATGGCCATTTTCAATTTCGAATTACTGAAAATAGAAATAAATGACTGTATTACACAGTATTTGCGAAGGAGGAGGCTCTACTCGATTTTTCACGCAATCCTGCAAATTGAATCGTGGGTCCATGAAATATTGACCGTATTTGGCTTGAGCCGAAACGGTTTCACTTAGATTTATTAACAATTTGCCTTTTTTTCTATTTTCGAGCTCCCATTGTGCTCTAATTTGAGAAATATCTTGACTTGAAAACAGTTTTGTACAGATTACTTGACTCGCGTAAGGGTCAAAGTGAATTGGTTGCGAATGTTGGGACTTTTGGGACCGGGTTTAGCCAGAATTATTGGACTTTTAAACGCTTTTGTGAACTAATGTAGGATGAAAATACGTGTAGGCCGATATACGACGTATTTGTTCAACAAAGATTTGTGAGTAGGTATTTGGTATTTACTACGTTTGTAATGAAAAAAATGAGATCGTTTATTATTGTTTCAATATTTATTGTTCGAGTATTTGGACAAGCACTTTTACTAGATTTCTTATGATAGGTACGCAGTGAAGGAATTAATAAAAACACGTTTTGTATATAAATATAAATATCAATATACATATGTGTACTTAGTAAGTATGTTTGCAAATTACACGGTAGAAAACTAAGGGAACTATGTACTCATTGAAGGACCCCTACCTTCTTATATAATTCCATCTTTAAATAATAAAATAACACTTCACCCATCAAAAGATCGAACCAAACTTTGTAAAATATACCTACATAATGTATAAATATAAAAGTTTAAATAAAGAGTAACTTCACAAAGAAAAAATTTTCACCACCCAATTTTCAACTCTAAGCACCATGTAAATAGAACTGTAATTTAAAGTGGCAATGGAGAAGAATACTCAAGCTAATAGCTTCGACTTACATCTCCAAGTTTCGAACTACACAGACAATGACAAACTGACGTAACCAACAATTTTCTGAACGCCCTCACTTCTCTAGTGAGGTAAAGACGAAAAACTTCCCGCCTTCTGTTGAAACTTAAAATGGCGGCACTTCCGTCTGACACGATTACGCGGGAAACATGCCGGAAATTGCGAAACCGTTCTTAGAGTAAAGAACGCACTCTCCAATGATATTTAATGTTATATACGATTAGATATATAAAGCTATGTAATGGGTTTATATGGGAAAATGACCTTCATGAGTAAGTGGAATTGCCAAGTGCAAGGTCAAGACCGTGACCTTGAATTGAGTATTTTTTGTAACAACTAGGATACTGTCTTTTCTCTTTTAACTAAACTAAAAGAAAAGGTACGAAAATAATTAAATTTTAAATTAAATCTCTTAATGAGACTATCATTAATTTTAGAGCCTTGAAATTTGAATGGAAGATAATTTATTTTGAGTGCGTCATTTCAATTTTCTTGGTTTAATTTTTTGATGTTTCGGTACACACCGGCTTCATCTAGTTTTTTACATATAAATTGACGTGTAAAAGTGCCGTTTCATTGTTTCATTGTTACACATATACCTATGTAATTCTGTTTTTTAAATAACGAACTTTGTTGATCAATTTTAAAATATATTTTTTTTAGTTACAATAAAATCTATTGTAGGCAGTCGTTAGTCAGAACAGAGTCGTAGGCTGAATTAATGTGGTGTCAATTCTTTTACAAAAATACAGCAATGTCATTATCTAAAAGTCTATTTTGTGAAGCGTGTAACTGTTAGCTCCGGCCCTAAGTACCCATTAAAGAATTTTGCCGAATATTGACTGTGGCCATTAGAGGGTCAAATGAGGTAGAATTATTTGCCACTTTGGTTGGATTATCCTTTAAATAAATAAACGTTTTGTTTGACGTGTAATAAAATTAGTTTTATTTTAAAAATAAATAAACTCTTTTCTTTTGTTTTGTTGCAAAAAGAAAACTGCTCGAGGCTAAAATACTATTAGTAAATGTATTTGCTAAATACTTTCAGTATTTAAAACAAACTGCATGGTTGGTACGGTGGCTGGGCAACTAGCTACCGTGCAACGCGTCGAGGGTTCGATTCCCGCACGGAACAACACTTTATGTGGTTCACAAATTGTTGTTTCGGGTCTGGGTGTCATGTATAGTATATGTGTAAAAACGCACCCACACACGTGAGAAAATACTAGTGTAGAGCAACTTTAAAAAAAACGATAAAAGTGTAAGATGTAAATCCTCAAGGTCGTAAGGTTAATACGGTTACTGCTAAGCAACGAATTTCCAGATAGGAATCTTTATCTTAAAATAATAATTAGAAGACTTAATTAGACAAACAGTTCTGCTCCTATGAAAAATCTTCAAGTAAAAGCATTATTTAAAAGAACATTGACTCAATAAAACTTCACACAGCTGTTGTTAAACCTTTATTCAGGCATTATTTTACCTATAAAAACTAATTCCACCACCATTAATAGTTTAAGTATTGAAAACAACGACTCACTCGCGAGAGAGGCTCAGCTTATTTTAGGTTTCTCGCGGGAATGGGCTGACTCGTTTGGAGTAATACCACGGCCTCACAAAAAACCGAAGAGACCGAGCATAGCGTTGTATTTCTCTGTAAGGCTACGAGAGGTTCAAATCTCTCCAACTCTTATTGTAGTTTTACTCTTGACAACTCTTTAACTCTTGTTGAATTGAAAAGCATC